TTTTTTTTAAAGATTGAAATTTAATTCACCAATGGAATGCCTTCTTCATGATCAACCATTGAGAACCAATGAAAGTATCGTTGCACTTTCATACCAGGCATATATATTGGTGGATAGTAAATAGCTTTTAATTTTTCAATTCCTTGAAATATCCATTCACCTTTTTCTGTTTTCATTCTCCATTTCACAAATAATAGGTTATATAAGGTATGAAACTGGAAAATATTTGATATGAAAATTTTAACTCCATTATTTATGCAATTAATTAAATAGTTTTTTGTTTTTTTTTTTTTTTTTAATACAAAACGTTATAAACGTGATATATGCAAACATTCATTGAATTTCCCTAAAGGAAACGTTTCCACACTTTATGTAATATGATGAAAAAGAAAAAAAAAAAGATTAATATTGATCTGTAATTTTTTAAAATTCTTTAGACTTTTTTAAAATCCTTTAATTCTTTAAAGTTAAATATTTCTTTAAGAAAACTTAAAAAAGTATTTAATTTTTTCAATGAATCAAAAAAAAGAAATAAATCTAGTTTAACATTCTTTCCATATAGCATAAGTTGCTGGTTAATTTAAAATGCATCATTAATTTCGAGTGCAATTTCAAAATAGTTGAAAAGTATGTAAAATGAAACCTGAAGATAAATCTGATTGAAACTTCTTTCCTGCTTAACAGTTCCATAAACCGGTTTTTCATGTTGACGTTCCGGCTCAAAGGTGCCGAATATTTTATCCCATATGATGAATACTGCTGCATAATTACGATCAATGCAGTAAGGATTACGACCATGATGAACACGATGATGAGATGGTGTATTGAGGATGATTCCTAGTTTACCGTAATTATCAAATAACTGCAATTATTAAAAGTTATCAGGTAGGTAACTTATTATGTAGTATCGTTAATCTCTCATATGTTTATTTGTCACAATATTTTAACTTCAGATTGTATTATGCTTGTGAGTTGATGGAGTTAATATAAATTGTTTGGAAACACTCCTAAATTGTCATCTGAATCCCTCATAGGTGACAGCATAAAGATTATCTAACCTGGTATTATCTGACCTAGTTGTTTTTTTCTCTACCTCATCCATCATTTATTATCATGAAAATTGATCATACTTCACAAAAATTATCTATTACTAAAAATTGAAATTGAAGAAGAATCAATACAGTAGTATGCAATGTGAATTGATAAATTTCGCTAAAATATCGATGAACCAAAAATATAGATGGAGGTATGAAAAATGCTTGAAGAACATCATAGATAGCAAGTCCAACATCTAAAAAATTGGATATTATTAATGTTTAAACGATTCCGAAAGTAGTAAGGTAACATCGGAATTAATAAGGAATTGTTTAATGAATATAAAAACTGTGATTAATGAGGGATTGTTAAATGAATATAGGGGTATGATTAATAAGGAATTGTTTAATAATTATAAAAGGTGTGATTAATAAGGGATTGTTTAATGAATATAGAGGTATGATTAGTAAGGAATTGTTTAATAAGTATAAGAGGTGTGATTAATAAGGGATTGTTTAATGAATATAAAGGTATGATTAATAAGGAATTGTTTGATGAATATAAAAGGTATGATTAATAAGAATAATGCTTCTTTTTTTTTTTTTTTATAGCAATGATGAAACGTTAACCTTGAATAGCAGCTTGTCGTAGAGCTGTTGTATAATTAAAATACTCGGAACTGTGATGTATCGTATGAAATCCCCAAAGAAATCCAATCTGTAAAAAAGAAAACTTGGAAATAAATTTAGAAATATTATTTTAAATATATGACAGTTTAAAAAAAAAAAAAAGAAACTTAATCAAAACTTAAAATGATTAAATTGAAAGAAACATATCATGAATAGCACGATGTCCAAGATAATACATAAAGTCTTGAAAAAATAGGCAAAATATCCAAGTTAATGGTGAATCCCATGAGTTTTCAATTAATCGGAAATTATTCCAAATATAATCATAAAGAAATATTGCAATCGTTCGACCTCCAAATCTATAAAATTTGAGAAAATTTTTTCAAATAATTCTTATTATGAATAATTTTCGTTTTGTTTTGTTTTTGTTTTTTTATATAATTCATTTCACTTTTGATTATTTTAATTAATTCACTTGTTGTCAATTACAATCTTAACTAGTAATGGGTAACGAGTAAATTGATAATTTACTAATTAATTTATTTAAATTATTACGAAACTATCGCAACACTTTACTGCTTATCTAGCCTAGCGCTGTTAAGATAGAAGTTGAATTTAACTTTAGGAATTGAAAGAATTGATTAGCAATATATGGCATAATTAGACACTACTTTATTTGCTAAATTACTTTTCTAGAGAATCCTTTTCTGTCCAGTTAGGTTGAATTAAAAAGTCTTGGCTGCAAGATTAGGCTTTCCATAATTGGCTCACTTTTAATCTCCAATATCTTTTAGTACCTCATTGATTTATCTATCTTCTAATAATACCACTTCTATTAAATTCTTCCTGTGCATTATGATTTTTCCATAATTTAGATATAATTAAATCATTAAATGTTATTAATTTCAAGGATGAATTCTAAAATTCTACAGAAAATGTTGCGCTCTTATCTTCTTTTGCCAGAAATATAACTTTCAAGATGAAACAATTAAGCGGAAAAAACAAAAGAAAAATTTGCTAGATACTTAATTATATGATCGAAATGCTAGAAATATCAAGTCAACTTGATTAAAAAAACAAGCGGAAAGGTCAAAGGGTACAGAATAACTTTGCTTAAACTAATCACATTACTTATCAATTAATTCATTCTTTTTTTTTTCCAAGAAATATGATAAAATTTACTTGAAACATTGTGAGAGAATACCAGCAGAAATTGATGTAATCGAATCATTGAGAGCAAAATGATCGGCATGTCCACGTATCCATAATAAGCTAAATTCGAGAATGATAAATAGTAACCACCAAAGACTGACCTATAATGATGATCGATAATCCAGTAAGAGTTTTCAAAAGATTTCCAATATTAGATATTCAAGTTTTTGAATTTATGAAAGAATATTGAGATGATACAAGTAATTTTATAACATCTAAAACTAAAAAAAAAGAAGAAATTAAAATTTAAAGAATTAAAATCTGGTTAAAATCAATGATTGACATTGATTTGTTTAAATTTTCTTGATGGAATTTCTGATTTTAATTATGAAATTTAAGCCATTAATCGATGGACTTTAGCTAATTTATTGCACAAACAATTTGACAAATATCTTTTAAAGCTTTTTTTTTATGTAAATGAGATAATAAGAGTAATTAATTAGCAATCAACACAAAATGATTAATAATAGTAGTAATTAGAATGGGGAAAAAAAACCAATTCCTTGGATATTTCTGAAAATTTTTGTTAAGGATAATTTTATTTATTCAAACATTAATTAAGAGATAAAGTAAGCATTATTATGGAATGTATAATGAAAATATAACTCTGATAAAGAAAAAAAAAACCTCTTTTTATCAAGTTTATCAATTAAGATAAAGTATCACTAATAATTATAAAATAGTGATAAAAATGTTCATTAAAATTACCTGAACAGTATAGTTAGGTACTTCATCAATCGTTTCAAACATTGTTTCATTAGGTGTAATCAAATAATATGTATATCGTAAATTGTTTAAGTTAAATCGATATAACATACGTTGACCTAATGAAGTGTTAGTAAAAATTTGTTCCAATGATAACCATTTTTTGGTATCATTTCTTAACATTGTTAAATAATTTGTAATGCCAGAATACAAAATTAATTAATAGCAGTAATAATTAATTGTAGAAGAAGAAGAAGAAGTATTTCTTGTGATATTTCTGAAAATTTTAATTAAAATAATTTTATTTTTTCAACATTGATAATATTAACAATAGCAAACGAAAAAATTGAATTTTAATTAAGCTAAATAATTATTCCACCTCATCAATTATATCATTTTGTGAAATTAATTAATCAAATAATTATTTCCGCCTTATCAATTGTTCCGTTTTATGAAATTAATTAATTAAATAATCATTCCATCCTATCAATTACATCGTTTTATGAAATTAATTAATTGATAATAGTCAAGAATATGCTATTGAAATTTATTATACATAAGGATCAGTGATAATTCTTGACTTATTAAAGGAATTCCTGTAGCTATAAAAGATATTAAAGAATAGCAATTAGTTACTGTACTTATAGCATATCACTGATTAACTGATAATTATCCATCCAGGATAATTTAGCTATTCAACGTTTATTTTTATGCTATTCAGCGAACAATTTATCATTTATAGATTTAGAAATATTCATGAAGATATTTATTGATTGTATTATTTTCAATTAAAGGAAAATTTTTGAATTAAAAGAAAACTTTAAGTAAATT